TATATATCTTAGTAAAGGGCCTAGTAGGATAAGTATGTGCATGCTGCTCCTGCATTTATCTGGTCGAGGTTTTTACCATAAGTTAGCAGCGATACAAGAATGAATTTCGCAAAATGTTATATCTGAAAAAAATTTTTATGGCAATTATGGGGATAAAAATTAAAAATCGACGAAACGAATTTTTTCTTTAATAAATGAACCGATTTCGACGAAAAAAAAAATGTTATAGAGTTCAATGGTGCGATGTTTAAAAAAAATTATAAAAATTTTTTTTCGAAAAAATCGATTGAAGAAAAGTTTTCTCCCAAAGTTTTTAATATTTTTTTTTAATAGGATGTACTTGAGACACTACTACCATTTTTTACTAAAATGATCTTTGACTTATCTAGTATAATATATTTAATTTTTAAAATGATCAGAAAGGTAGTATGTAGCTTAAAGAAATCAAGATCATTTGAGTGTGCGGCGTACGATTAGACGGGTGTTACGCGATATTCGGATACGCATACTATACTAAATATAACAACAATTGATCGTTAAAGCTCATTATCAGGATGAATTGCTTTATCTTCAGTTTTAATTATCTTCCTTTGACCAGGTACTTTATGCAAAAACTTGTCGCACCCAGCGTATTTACCATTGCAGGACAGCTCTACTCCAGACCTTAGAACATATATAAATGGAAGGGGAATAGGGTGCTGAACGTGAAGGGGGTGATCCCGATTGATCACGGCTCGATTGGACACCACCAATCACAGCGACCGGTGCTTAGGAGCTTTGTAGTCTCAAGCGCTGTGAGTGGCTCGTGTCCAACTGGGTGCCACCCATCTGTGTGAAATGTGCAGTTGGTTAGTGTTTCTTACACATTCGTACATTACACAGATGTGTTATAGGCCTTCTACAATAAGCGGCTTATTGTAGAAGGCCTACGAAACGTGATGTTGCGCATGTGCATTGGGAACATTTATCCCTTACTACCTTTCTCTCTCGCACAGATGTTTGCATCAGGGTAGCGATCATGTAACTTTTTCCCTAGGAAACGTGAAAAGTAAAAATTCTTTGTATGATGTGTGTATATGTACGACACACATACATAAAAATTTTCACTTTTCACGTTTCCGTTCTAGCATTGTGTGGAATGGCCTTTAAGGCCACAATTCTCGAACGTCTATCTTTGTTGCCCTCGGCCATTTCCCTGCCGCGGTGACCAATCAATTCACTATTAGAAAAGAAGAGAACTACTCCGCGACTGTTTCTTTCTGTTTCTATCACATCTTCAGTTTCTCTTGTACGAAATGAAGGGCTTCAGGGCCATTCCATACAAACTTGCATAGCTGCATAAACATATACATAAAGAAAATCATCCAATCGTAGTTTACGTTTGTCTTTATGACAGAAATGTGATTGGATAATTTTCTTTATGCATATGGTTATGTGGCTCTGCAAGTTGTGTGAAATGGCCCTCAGGGCTTCACATATGAAATGCATAACAGAGCATAAGCATAATATAAGACTGCTGGACCAATGAGCATCTACCATAATGTCGCCATATTAATTTACATAAGATGCTCATTGGTTTAGCGGCCTTATGTTATGCTTATGCTCTGTTATGCATTTCATGTGTGAAGTGAAGCCCTTTAATGTATTACGTATTCTCCAACTCGGAGTGAACGACAATGTGATGTGAACGAGCGCGACAGCTTTATTTTGACAAAAATAAAGGTGATTGAGAATTGAAAAGAAATAAAGAAGAATATCTCAAGAATTGATCTCAACAGTGTGGCCATGCTTCTATGATTAATATATCGTTTTAACGGCAGGTTCGCACTTTTTTCTTTCAGATCCTTTCATTTCGTGCAAAATCGTGTCGAATGAACATAATTTCGTCGAAATGAAACAAAGGTGAGAGGTGTGTTCTGAATAATTATCGAAGAAAAAATATATTGTCTCATCCAACACCGAAGGTTGGGATTTGGGATTGATGCAAGTTTATACTCGTGGTGAGTAGTTTATCATCTTGTCGCACAATAGTTCATTTCTTTTTTTTTTATTTTTCGACGCGAGTATTTTTCGCAGTTGTACTTTTCTCTCGTTTCGCGATAATTATTATCTGCAAGAATGTTCTCGCTCTCAACGTACTATACTTACCTGTCGTCGCATTACGTATAGGTTATGAAAGGAAAGGAGTGCGCTTGAAAATGATCAAAATATTAATTTGTTAAATTCAAATTTTTAAAGAAAAATTAAGTTATATTGTTTCTTGTGCATTTCAAGTTATATATACAATTTTGGACAGTACTACGCGGTGTTTACGCACTGTAAGTTTTATTTTATCTTTATCACTCATTACATATGATTACATGCAGAAGGAAAATAAAGAAAGCTTCTAGCACGTGAGTACTCAAAATCGAAAAGCAGCCACTATTCTCATGTTTCCTCTGAATGGAAACTTAGAAGCAAACAAAGTTGTCTAATATTGTACAGTTATTAAATTCTGTTATATTTTCACTAAGTTCCGTTATTGATATCCTTTCCAATCTTAGCCTGACGTCTACAAAAGTATACAAAGAAGCTAGAATAGTAATATTACAATTAATTTGATAATTTAATAATAATAATGTGCTAATAAGCATCTTATTACAAAGAATTTATTACAAACAATATCAGCCACCTAACTATACTTAGTACATCAATATCCTGATTCTATAATTCTTAGATGTAATGATACTGATGTAATGACAATTCATCAGTATCATTACATCGTCGTCGTACAGTTTCTTTTGTCATATACAAGGTATCCCACCTTTACTGCATATCCTCTTAAAAACATATTCTTGAGGTAATAGGCAGCATCTGTATTACACTGTCATGCCTGAGCGCACTGTTCTATCTATATCTATATATGTATTTAGTGAATTTCAATGTCTTATGCCATGTCTTAGCGCCGAGATACTACTATATCTCCAGATTGCTATTAATTTAAAAACTATTGTAGCCTCGATATTTTTATATTAAGATTTTCGTCTCTAAATTATTTTGTCTCAAGAGGAAATGCCTTTAAAAGGAGATGCATTTGTTTGTGTCATTCACGTATCGGTACTATTGTACTTATTATATAAGTATGAATTAAACTGAGTGAGTGTGACATAGCAGACAGCGCACTGGTCTGTCATGTCAAAAGTCCCGGGTTCGATCCTGGTAGAAACTAAAATACTTATGCTGCTTTCGGTGTCTCATCTCAGGAAAGACCATAGAGTATCCTTGCCCACAGAAACACTTCTCTGCAGAAAAATCCGCCGTTCGGAACTGGCATTAAAACTGTAGGTTCCATATGTTTGTGGCAATTAAATAAATTGACATACCCACAAGCATATGAGAGAGGTGTAACACAGGCCAGAAGCCTGATGTAAGAGGAAGGAGGAGAAGAAAAAGAAGAAGATAAATTAAATCCTATAATAAAATATTTATAAAAATGATTAAATATCAATAAAAACGATAAATAAATATAAATGTTATAAAAATGTGAATGAAAATTAATCTGTAACGAGTATTACAGTAAATAAAATGAAACATGGACAAAAACAATTCTTTGAATTTATTTTGTCTTTCGAAATTCGATTTTCTACAACCTTTTATATTTTAATATATCAATGTCAAGCTTTCCATTCGTATCTTTAATTTTAAATAGCTGAAGAGGGAAAGCTAAATCATTACAAAAAATGATTGTGAGATCAAATAGCATTAAAATCTTTGTTATGTACTCTTCTCTAAAATTATACTTTTTGAACTTTACGTTTGTTCGTCTTGGAAAATTGGACCAATTTTTATAATTTATGATTATGATTATGATTTAATTTTTGGTTTAGAAAATTTATAATTTTATCAAATTTTATATGACCAATCAAAGAAAACCGACTTTTTATACCATAATTGAATTTCAGAAGAAGCCTATTAGGAAAAAGCATCACTGACAATAATTGAGGGGATGGGCGGAATAAAGGCACAATTCTACTTAGGCCCTTTTTTCAGCAATTAGCCATTTTTCATGTAATATTGATCATAATACAGAAGTATTGTAATATAAATTCATTTAATATTGTACCCATTTGTGTATAATAAAGAAGTAGCAAGTTATTTTAATTTGTATTAATATTAAGATTTTATAATTAGGCCTTTATTCCGCCCATTCCCTCAATTAGATCCACCAAAAAAGATATTAAAAATGTAAAAAAATGGCGTCAAGTATATTTTGCAAAAAGAAACCAAAGATAAAAAAGTGAAATTAAAATAATATTTCAAGTATCTTTATTTAAAAAATTCCATAGAACACAATTCTCCGAGCGACATCTTGAAGATATCCTTATTATATAGACATCTTTTGGACATCTTTATGACTGTTCTATGCGATAATTTGTCACAATTATAATAGACTACAAAGTATGGATGACATTTAAAGTGTATAAAGTATAACAACACATTAAAATAAAAAAATGAAATGCAATAGATAGTGTAATAACTAATAAGAGATGCAGTAATTGAAAAGAGATTTTTACATCGATAAGAAGTAGAAAGTTGTGGAGACAAAAATGAGCAATATCTCCAGCAGCAGCATACTTGACGCGCCCTTGTTTATATTTCTTGTTCATATTTCGATTCATGCAAATAATTCAATAAATCTTTTATTATAATTATAAATTATTTTTCGCAAATTAAAGAAATTTAATATACACTCATTGACAAAAAAAACGGGCCACTATTTAAAAATATTAAAAATTTTAGCATAAATTTTTAATATTTTTAAATAACGGTAACTCAATGAAAAATTATCGAGATGAACCACAATTCAAATTAAAACTCGAACATTCTTCTTGATGACCATCGCGATCAAATTTGAGTTACACAAAATATAATACAAAATGGCGGACAATAGTTAAAAAATTTTTTTCTTTAAACTGTTTTGCTATTCAGCGGAATCGGCTACATGGCATGAAAGTGTATTGAGTCTTTAAGCTCATTGATTTCCAAACAAATACATATTTTAAATTTTTTTCCACGATTTTTTTTACAATATACCAGTTTAAAGAAAGTGTTACAAAACAAACTTTTTCTTGTAAACTCACAATCAGTATAAAATTAGCAGAAAACAAATTATTGTAGCAAATTTTATTAGAAAAGAAATTAAAGTGTTAATTTCAAATTTTAACTCTTTAATTTTGTGTAAGAGCGTGCGTGTACAGTCATGAGCAGAAAGCGATACTTTTTTTTCAATGATTTTTGGAAAAATTTTTGATCACTCATTGACTATTTACTCTTCTTTTTCTTCTTCTTCTTCTTCTTGAACTCCTTTGGAGAAAGGTTGGCTCCAAACTTCTTAGTATCCAATGACATATTCAGCCGATCTAGTGATAGATCAAGCATCGTTATTGCAGGTAAAAGTTCTTTAGAATGTCCGCTAAATTGATTAAAGAATATTATTGATTAATATAAAGTATAAAATTAGAAAAATTATAATTATTATATTAACATATAATTTAAATAAAAATACGCTTGAGATGGATTTATATGCGAGCATTTTAAAACAGGAAAATTTATGACAAAGCTGCAAATCAGGATGAAACATAGCTGAGTAATCGTTTCTACATATTATCCGCAAAAATATCCTGAAAATGATAATGCTTTTCTGTATATATATTCAGAATCCCGAACAGTATTATTATTTTATTACATATTATATTATAATTTTTAATATTAAACTCGTGTAAAAGATGTAAATAAATTTACAAAACAAATTTATCTAATTGGTTTACTCTTTCAAACGCTTTTACGTTAATCTTGTGATATCCAATTGATATTTTTTCGCGGCACATAAAATATGATACTTGAATTCACTATGTGAAAATTTTCAAAAATCGTCGAAAAAAAATGTCGCTGCCTCTTTGCCTATGACTGTTGCACTGCATATTCATGCATGTGTCCTGCTCTCGGTGTTACTCAGAATCAACCCCATGAACATGGCAGGAATCTGATCCCGTGCACGTGCGCGCGCGCGTGTGTGTGTTTTATGTGTGTGTCTTTAGTAATATATATTGCCTCCTGCATTTATCGTTTATTTGTTGGAACATACTGTCAGTTAAATGTATTTCTTCTTGTTTCAAATTACACCATTCCTCCTGCACAGTATTGCGGAGGCAATGCACATTACTAAAGACACACACATACGCACGCACGCACGCACGGCATCAGATTCCTATCACGCTGTTAATCCTGAGATGCGTTCCGTATCTCGCATGATGCGCATGATGCATCCATTGTCCTTGTTTAACATTTGGTGAGCAACAAGGATAAACGACGCATTATGCGCATTATGCGAGAAACGGAACGCACCCCTGGGTAACACCGAGAGCAGGAGACACGCATGCACATGTACACGTACGCATTTACACTAAATTAAAGTGTTAAAATTTGGAATTAACACTTTAATTTCCTTTCTGATGAAGTTACCTACAATGATATATTTTTAAATTATACTAATTTTACAAGAAAAAGTCCGTTTGGTAACATTTTCTTTAACTTTGTAAAAAAACTCGTAGAAAAATGTTCAAAATATAGATTTGTTTGGAAATTAATAAGCATAAAGACTCATACATTTTTGTGCCATGCAGCCGATTCCCCTGAGCAGTGTAACAGTTTAAAGAAAACATTTTTTTCAATTTTCACACTATTTTCAAAAATAGTTTATCCTTATATGCCTTATTGCTACTGATTATTGGTCTTCTTATTTTGTAATGAAGCGATGACAAATATATCTGTCATTTTTGTGCAACATTGATAAAATAGTTGAGCTGCCGTGTGTCTAATATTCGTTATGTTTCTGTTTTTAGCATATTGTTCTACAAAAGTGTAAAAGAATGGCCAAGGAAGAAAAAGCTGTTCCTTCATCTATGACTCAGTGCTATGAAAATTATATTATAGTTGATGTGGGTGCCAATCTAACGAATAAGAAGTATAGTCGAGATTTGGATAGTGTAATACAAAGGGCGAAGGACGCCGGTGTACAAAAGATTATGGTAACCGGTGCTAGCATTCGTTCTAGTAAAGAGGCGCTGAGACTGACCAGAATATATCCCGGGACGCTTTACTCAACCGCTGGCGTGCACCCACACGACGCCAAGTCTTGGGAGGAACCAAATACTTTGCGTGAATTAGAAGGTATAGCCAGTAATCCAGAATGCGTTGCGATCGGAGAATGTGGCTTAGACTACAGTCGTGATTTCTCAGCTCCGGAGGCACAGCGCACTGTATTTCACAAGCAAATAGAATTAGCCTGTACATTAAATAAGCCACTAGTAATACATGAAAGAAGCGCGCAGAAGGACGTATTAAAAGTTCTTGACCAATATAAGAATCGTCTGCCGCCTATTTTGATTCACTCCTTTATCGGCACTGCGGAAGAGGCACAGATTTATTTGGATCAAGGCTTTTATCTAGGCATCACGGGCTATCTGTGCAAAGATAAATCCGATAGTGGAGTTAGACAATTGCTGGAAGGAGGGCGAGCACCATTAGATAAGATCCTAGTGGAAACCGACGCGCCATTTATGTATCCAAATACCAGAGCCAGTAAATTACCCGTGCACGTGAAAGATGCTTTAACCGAACGGTCTATGACATTTCTTCATCGTTACTGCACTTTCCAACGTAACGAACCATGTGCCTTGCCAGCTATCGTGGAAATGGTAGCGGCGTTTATGCGAATCACGCCAGAACAAGTCGCGCTGGCTACTGCTTTTAACGCTTTAAAATTATTTGGTTTAAATCAATGATAACAATACTTACAATTTCAGAGTTTAAGTTGTGCATAAGATGCTATATGACAATGGAATTAGATTTTAAAATAATAAGGATAAAGCTTCATCTGGAACCATAACATATATGTATTTCTTTTAGATGCGAATTTAAAATTTTTTATGTCGAATCAAATTGAGTATTATTTCTTTTTTTAAATCTGAATCAAATCAAATCGAAATTTTATCCAAATCGAACTGAATTAAATCAAATCGAATCGTTGAAACATAACTTTTAACAATATAATTATTATTAACAATATAATTATTATGTATTGTAATACATAAATGAATGATTTTGATGTAAAAAAATATTGCATATATATATATATATCAATATGCAAATTCACTATAAGATCTAATGGTGCATTATGTGCCAATGTCATAAAAAATATATCCTTAGTAAATATTAAGCTATACAGTTTAATTAGAATTTGTTTTTAAAAAATTGTTTATTGTACAAGGTGTTTTATTTTAATCAATCCCGTCAACATTCTCCAAAAATTTTGAAGAAAGTTGATCAATAATTTTGGACCAAAACTATTTATACAAAAAAAATATTTTAGATGAAAGTGGAATTGGTTTCGAGGGGCGGGCATGTATTTTAGTCACGTTTTTTTTCTAGGTGAAGAGGCTAAAGAGATATAAAGGTTATCTACATTTTTTTTTAACAGAATTGTATAATATCTAAAAAATTTCTATATGATAGCTTTCCAAATAAATAAAAATTAATTATTTCAGGAGCATAAAAGCCAAACGTAGATTGTTAGTGCAACGTAATTTTTATATACTATATACGATCATATAATAGAAGATAAAAACGTTTCGACCTTAAGTTAGGTCATCCTCAGTATCTAAACAAAATATAAATTAAAATTTTTACATTGTATTTACAATTTTTAACGCCACATACATTCTTTCCATCCGCTTATACATTATTCTTGTGGTCTCAGTCAATCCTCTGTTTCATTATAAATACACGCCTATCTTGTATTAAACGTCTTCAACATTCCACGAATATGACAACTTAATGTCTCGCACAAGTTCCAAATTCTACGACAACAATAAGATTGTCAATTTCTGTACAATACTTCATAACTTATTGCAACTATAAATATAAAATAAGGCTCGAAAGAATCTATCAGTAAAAAATATAAAAATGCCCATCAAAGCCTACATCAGCTGTTCGGATGCACAGAAAACTCTTTATTCTCGTGTGAATGTAACAAAACGAATCAAATAATCGTTTCGACCCTTTAATTTTAGTCCTTATCAATATAAAATATAAATCTAAATTACGTCCAGTCGCGAGAAACGCTTTGCGCCACATATCACTATAGTAATAACAGTGTTACTACAGCGATATGCGGTGCAATTTCGTTGATATAGTAATAATGGATGTAAATTCTGTACATAAGGTATGCAACGTTCAATGCAAAGCATGAAATAATAGATAAATATTTACAAAATATTGAAGGATGAGTTTACCAACCTCATTCCACAATCTACAGCAGTCGACAGGAGTCGATGTCGAATATATTGATAGTAAATTCAATATGGCAGCTACCATGAATTACTCCAGCCAATCAGAGAAATATATCGATCACGTGACACTTTGCAAATTTCTAGGTCTGTTCGCGTTGCTTGTATTTTTGGCACTCGACATCTTTGTTTTCTCTCTTTTTAAGGCAAAATATGTATCTATCTTATTTTAAGTGCAAAAATATTTGGAGATTTCATACAACGCGAACAGACTTTCTGTTACACTATAGTCTCTAACTTAAAAATGCCTTCTGTAATTTATCCATGCACTATCTAGTGAGCGACTCTATTCTCGTACAGAACAGCGGTATAGTGGCAGTGTAGTAGCGGCCAACGCTGCCATTGTAAAAGGGTTAATAATAATTAGTAATTTGTTAATAATAATATTTTTTAAAGTAATAAATATCTAATAATTACTGTCGTGCGAAAAAATATTTTGCTACTCCAGCTAAAATTATCGTTTTTTTGTATCTGGTAGAAAATTATGTATCTTACGCATAGAATTTATAGCACAATATTCTAATAATATATGCAAGAAAATTTAGGTCTCATGATTAAATATGAATCACAGTCTATTTGATTGAATGTTACAGAGAGACTTCCTTGATAAATTTGACAAATAGTTCAGATATAAATTCTGTCTTTGTCATATATATATTGACTAGATACAAAACATATCTAAAAAATCGTAGTTTTCTAATTATTTATCCATTTCAGCTAATTTTTCGTATCTAGATCATTTTCGTTATAACTGTTTTGGATCAGCCATTTTTTATTTTTTACATTGTATTTAACCCTAAAATTCTTAAAAGCATTTTATAGGAAATTTTATAAGCTTTAATTTGGTATATTTTACTTTTTATGTAAGTTCTTTAAAAACTGACATATTTGTAAAGAAAAAGTTACGGAGAACACGTTTTTTAGAAAATGTTGAAAAAAGGCTTTTTTTCGAAGTTGATGAATTTTGGAGAATGATACGCAACTAGGATCGTATATAAGTACATGTAAACTTTTAGAAACATGCGAATATATTTTTTCCAATTTGATTATATTCCTGTATTGATAAATAAACTCATATCACATAAATTGTGGGTCCCATAATATCTTTGAAACACTATATTTCGGAAACTATTGATTATACGAAGTTAAAAAAAAGCATTTTCAAGCTAATTTTATATGCTTTAAGACTATGTACATTTTTCACACATGATAAGTCACAAGCAGGTTATTCGTTAAAATGTATTACAATTCGAGAAAATTTATGTATATCTCGGCAACTATTCATCGTACGAAGTTCAATAAAAAACAATTTTGTAGAGAATTAAAAAACCTTTCGATTTGGTAATAAGTACTTTTTACTTAGGAGAGTAGCCGAATCCGAGATATTTACATAAAACGTTAAAAAATAAGTTTTGTTAAAAAATAAAAGAAAACATTCTTAAAATTGTATCTCAGAAACTATTTTTCGTAAAAGATAAATAAAAACGATTTTGTAGGAAATTCAGTAACCTTCCATTTTCATAAGAATTATTTTATCCGTAAAAGAGTAGCTAGATCCGAGATATTTACGAAAAAAGTGTGAAAAATCGTTTCATTCTCGAAATGACCAAAAATACAACATTCTTTAAAAAATTCCATCATGGAAAGTATTGATCGTATAACTTTAAAAAAGAAACGAAATTATTCGTAATTTTATCAGCTTTGTTTTTGATAATGATCTTTATTTCGATAAAATGAATACTTTCTAGGATATTTTTGAAAAACCACATTTTTTATCAGTTTTTAAAGCTGGAAAATTTTCCAAGTCGCTGGCAGTCAGAATTTTTATAATGCGTCATTTTAAACAACTTCCGGCATACAAATCTTTTATAGCAATTTTGCCTTCAAAGAATCTAATTTTCCTGAGCTATTATATATGATTCCTCTGATTATTCTATGTATAAAAGTACTAAAGTAGAGATTAAAATATTAATGGTTTATGAGATATTTTTGTATTTCATGTCAGAATTTGTATAAAAATATTGATATAAAACTATTGATTTTTCGATACTTCTACTTTAGTACTTTTATATATAGAATAATTAGAGAAACGTGAAGAAGGCTCAATCGTGAGACCGAAACATGTCATATTTTAATTGATTATAGAATATTATATTAATTTTTGATTTTTCATGTTTTAATATACTTTATTATATTTGACTCTTATGTGCCCTTTATTCTCTCGTTATTGTTTTTAAATTAAGAGTCCTTCGTTCTTGTAACAACTTAAAAGAACGTATTATATGAAAAAATTATACAATTCCATTTTAAAGAATGATGGTAATTTTTATATCTTTTTGACAAATCGACCTACAAAAAATAATTAAAATCCTCGTCCCTCTTGAAACCGTACTATTTTCATTTAAAACATTTTTTGTATCGTCAATAATTTCACAGAAAATTGACTAGGTTAAATGGAACATCCTGTATTAATAATGTATGACAAGTCTAATTTTAAAATCTTCTGTATTTCAGTGATAGGAAATATAATTATTGATAAAGAAATTGTATTGATTGATACTTATAGAGATGCGAGAAAGTGGGAGGATACTCTGTTAGCCCACATCCCGGTAACACACATTCATTCGCATCGACTAGTACTTATATAGTAATTTTCCAATGTGTTATCAATGAAAATATTTTATCTT